AAGTGGTCATTGAGTGAAGGACTAGTGTAAGGTGATCTGAACTTCAAGCCAAGACTGAAAATCTACAGCACTCAATCCTGACCTCTGCCATTCACCATTCACCATCCTCCAAATCAAGTAACCTCTGTGTTACAAGCCAACAACAATTGGTAAGACAAGTCTTCTCATTTACAATCTTAAACTCTTTATGAATGAATTACTATTTTATGTAATCAGGGAGCTAAAGTTTTAATCATTTTCTAATCTTTCAATTCCCAGTTTTTCCATATTCAAACATTTCGTCGGACCTGCCATCTTTGCTCGAACTCGAACGACGATTGCTTGTTTTACTCACACATTCAAACAAAACGTTCTTTTGTTTTGGTGAAAGTACAGATATGAAAACAAAAGACACTACAAACAATAGACTAGACTATGCATGCAATGATTAATTAAAGTTTTATTTTATTCCTCTCCCACAAACGTGCACCTGCAAGCTTAGATTAATATGGTTCACTGTTGCACGCATGTGAAGAACATTCTCTCACGTCTGATTTTATGAGGGTCAAACAAGCATGTGAGAGTTGTGGGAGAGAATGAGGACTGTCTCTAAGAATGAGAGTCATGTGAGCTTGTCTCAAATACAATGAGAGGAAGCTAAAATGACAATTCTCAATATATAAAAAAAAAAAAAAAAACCTAATGGCAAGTAATACATTTTCAAAGCAGTTTGTCCCAGAGTGCCTGTTATAGTAAAGACAGAAGTGAATACAGCTTTTCAATTAAGTACTTCTCAATTGAGATCTTTACAATGGTTTTTAGAAATATTTTAAATAGAGAAGTTTGTGAAAGCTAAAGTAAAAGAAAAAAAAAACTCATGAAATAAATGTATTTATTTATAAAATTATATATACTACTTGACTGAAAAAAAAAAAAAAAGTAAAATAAAAATAAACACAAATTTGAAATAATTAAGATTTTGTAAATGTTTTTGAAGTCTATAATGCTCACCAAGGCTGTAATTATTTGATCAAACCATTCTTTTAAATGGTAATAATTTCACAATATTGCTGTTTTACCATAAATGCAGCCTTGGTGACTTCTTTCAGGAACATAAAAAAAAAAAAATACTGGAAGTGTATGCATGTATAATTTATTACATAAAATAGTAGTAGTAGTAGCAGCAGTATAAATAATATGTCCTGCTCTCAAATGAGTAATAATATGAAAATGTGAAAACGTGAAAATGTGTATAATTTTAAACTTGTGAATTCTTTAGACTTTGACTGGTAATGTAATCATCTAAACATCCTACCAATACAACTGCAACAACCCAGAATGACCTAGCAACCTCATAGTGGCACACTAAAACGACTGGATAGCAATGCCACACATCCAAAACACACACCCTACCGCACATGTATAATTCTACTTCTAATCAAACTGTATTGTAAATTGCCATGCAGAATGGGCAGTTTACATAACGCCTCAATTCTGACTCCGAGTGAATGGACAGAGATCGCGTGTGTGGTAATTTGGAAGCTTTTGAGAAGAGGTTTCTCTGGTGTGAAATGCATCAACACACCTACACAGGAAACTGCTGGAAAGACTGACTCAACTGCCACGGCTTTGATAAGCCTTCACAATATGTCTCAAATGGAGAATATGCTTACATACAAACGGCCACTGCAGCTTGTTTTAAGGGCAAAATGACATTTCGTTTCATCTCGAAATGTTCTTAAAACAAGCCTACATCAAATTAAATGTACTTTTAGGAAAGGACAGCCCACAAGGACCTGAGTTCATGTATGGCATAACTGGCCGAGTCATTTATTTTATTTTTATCCTTTAGTTTAAGCTGAAATGATTTGAAGTATCCGGGGTTAATCATCTCCCTCTGGGGCGACCGAAGCACTGTAGGCCTCTCACCCACCAATCCCTGGAGACGTGACCCGGTGACTCGGCCGGTTGTGTCAGAACAACATGCTGGACGTCCTCCACTGTAACAAACACACTCGACATAGTTTCCACTGCCCCGTCCTCTTCACACATGCTCTCACACTTCATTCACATGTTAAAGGGATACAGGAACTCTTCCGGACACTCACGCTCCTGTGCCTTTCTCTCAAAAGGTGACAGACTATGAGTCTGCATGAGGACTTCTACAGGAAGCTAGCGGATGATGGTTGGTATTGCGGGATTAGAGCATTATCTGCATTCTCACATTCCTTAAGATTTTCAGCATATGTGTAATGGTTTGCAAACACCACTGACGTATTGAACACTTGCTGGTAAATATTCTCAGTGAGCTATGGGTCATTCTCTGAAACAGGTGCCTTTTCTAGTTTGAGAACATACATTTTGCACAGTTGTAAACAGTCTTTCAGACAAAGAAAGTGAATAATAATAAATTGCATAATGCCATATTAAGATAAATTAAATATTTGTATGTTGTAATATAAACGATAGATAGAACGATAGATCAATAGAACGATAGATCGATAGATTGAACGAGACCGAGAACTATAGATAGAACGATAGATAGAACGATAGATTGAACGATATAACTATAGATAGAACGGTAGATAGATAGAACTATAGATAGAACGACAGACAGATAGAACAATAGATAGAACGACAGACAGATAGAACGATAGATAGAACGGTAAATAGATAGAACGATAGATAGAACGATAGATAGAAAGATAGATTGATAGATATTCATTTTTTAGCCATTCCTCTTTCTCTTACAACTGATGTTCTCTACAGCAGTTTACTCCCATGTGGCTCCATATCCTGTTCCCTCAGAAGGGAAACCCAGGCTCACTAAAAAACATTTAATGAGCTCCTGTGCATAAGTCATATGTCAGTAGTTTCATTCAATATAAACAGGACTACAAGGCTCACCTGGAGGTCAAGGTTATTTTGAATATCAAAGCAAGCTCTGCAAGTTTTCAAAAGCTTGTCAAAAACAATCCAACTTCATGCAACTTAAAACTGTGGTTAATATGGCATTAGACGCATTGCATGGAGACATGCAATGTGTCTAATGCCAAAAAACAAAGCCTTACACCAGTGCCAAGTGCTTCAAGAGTCACTACAGTTCCTCACACTCGTTCAAGAATTTAAAAATAGAGACAGAGCAGAACAGGTTCTCACTTCTGCTGTAGGTCGTGAAGGCTCAGCTCTGCCCGGTTGAGGCTCTCCAGGTCTTTCATCATCTTCTTCATGTGGTCTTTAGAGTGCCGGTTCTGAATGTAAGCGAACCAGCAGCCTCCCATTCCGATGACTATTGACACCACCAGCATGAAGTCCTTCAGATGGTTATGTCTGTTCACTGCGAGAGACAGAAACCAGCATATACTTTAAACAAGTAGTCATTTAGCAAACCCAGGGACAGGGAGTAACCTGGGGTTAAGTGCTGTGCTTAAGGACACAAATGAACTCATAATTTGCAACTAGGGCTGCACGATATATCGAAAATATCGAAATATCGCAAATGTAAATATCACGATGTGCGATATTTGAATCATTTTAATAATAGGCTACTTAAATCAAAACGTTGCACATTCGCATCTCCTCATGTTCGAACAGACACATACACACAGAATTATGTCAATAGTACCCGTCTCGACGATCATTCTCGTAAACACAGTCTGTTATGTTTTAAATGAATGTAAACAGCTGAGCAAGAAATCGGATGTGTATCATTATACTGGATCCGTGCAGTTGGAATTTAAAGGGACAGCAGCCTATAAATACGTGCTGCTGAATATGTTACTAATGTTAATCAACAAACAAAACGGCTATAACAAAGATTAATCTAAATTTAATTCATACAGTGAACACTATGCAGTGTTAGTTTACACTTAATTATTAAATTTCTGTATCTGAATACTACCGTTTATTTTATCTATGCTTGTAAATTGTGTATTTATTTTTCTTTCTTATATTATTTATATATAAATATTATTGCTTGACGTTAAAAAGAGTTAAGTGCAATAAGTTGCAGAAAACAAATCTTTGCCGTCTCCTCTTGCTGTCTGACTCACACCTGAAGCACGCGCACAAGCTGCATCTCGAGCAGCGTCTCTTCAGTTCTGCCTCACACGTTTTTCTTTCTTATATTATTTATATATAAATATTTTTTATTTTACTGACTGTTCACTTGCCTTTAATCATGTTTGAACTTTCTCAGACTATAGTTTTTGCTGTGGTATATGAAGAAGTACTTAAAGTGTATGGAAAGCAAACTTACAATGATATAAAATTAATGTCATTATTATTTTTAATTTTTTTTGTATGTTCACGCTGATGTTAAAATGACATTTTCTGATTTGTGACATTACTTTTTATGTACTGCTAAAACACTGCTGGTCACTTTCAGAAGTTGTAGTGATTCTTTCTTTTCCAAGAAACACACACACACACACACACACACACACACAGAGACGTGTTTCAGACGGCGCGCGAACACTGAGTTGATTCGTCTTTCGCATCTCCTCATGTTCGAACAGACACATACACATGAAAATATAATTGAAATTGATTTTACATACTTTAAGCAATATCGTATCGCATATCGAATATCACATTTTTTAACAAGGTATCGCATATCGCATTTTTCTTCAATATCGCACAGCCCTATTTGCAACATTTCTAATAAGACACTTCCAGTAAAATGACTTTTCTTTACATTAGTCTTTACTCTAGGACAGGGGTTCCCAATCCCAGTCCTTGTGCTTAGATTGAACAATTTTTGAACTGATACTTCTCAGTACTGAATGAAATAAAGACAACTAGACAAAAAAACAAAAAAAAAGACAATAGCTTTCACATCAGGAGTGTGTCAATGATGCTTTAATATGCTGCATATGTAGGCAGCTCAAAAGGTTTTGGAACAGATCCCATGACCTGTTTAAGAGTGCAAAGCTGAGGTGTAGGTGTAGGTTGTAGTAGTAGAAGTCAATCTGCATTCTAAACAAAATCTAAATTCAGTTTGCAAATTGATACACGCAAAACATTGGCTTTCTCTGCGAGCTGTTCAAATACTTCCCACAGAAGCTGTTTAATGCAATTTTCTTGCAAATATTGTGCTGGCACACAGTGTAGCTGCAGTGCTTTCATCTCGTAAAGGTTAAAGCATTCATTTACATTTACTGTAGGGATACATGGGCTTCTGCAGTTACAGTCCTGCAATACTTACCACTGCTGTGCCATTGGGCAAGACAGTTAACCTAACAACAGCCCCAGGGACAGCACACAGTCCTGACCCTGGATGACTCAATAACACGCTCTTCTCAACTCCTCATCCTCTAGGGAGCACGACCGGTTGTCTAGCACGAAAAATAGTTGGTCTGCATCAGCTTGATAGCTTTAATTACCAAAACCTAACATACTAAAATACTATTTGCAGAGCTTTTGCCTTTGATTACAAGGATATAAACTACTGGCCAAAGGATGTTTACTGTTTTTGAAAGAAGACTCACCAAGGCTGCATATATTTAATCAAAAATACAGTAAAATCAGTAATATTGTGAAATATTATTACAATTTAAAATAACTGCTTTCTATTTTCATATATTTTGAAATGTAATTTATTTCTGTAATGCAAAGCTGAATTTTCAGCATCATTAATCCAGGCTTCAGTGTCGCATGATCCTTCAGAAATATGCTGATTTGCTGCTCAAGAAACATTTCTTATTTTCAATGTTGAATACAGTTGTGCTGCTTAATATTGTAGTTGAAACCTTGATACACTACCATTCAAAAGTTAAGATAAAAAAAGTGAATACTTTTATTTAGCAAGGCTGCATTAAATTCATCCAAAAATGACAAAGTTCTTCAAAACTGACAGCATAAGGTTATAAAAGACTGCCATTTTAAATCAATGCTGTTCTTTTGAACTTTCTATTCTGATAATAACTGAGCAGCAAATCAGCATATTAGAATGATTTCTGAAGGCTCATGTGACACTGAAGACTGGAGTAATAATGCTGAAAATTCAGTTTTGTATCACAGGAATAAATGACATTTTATTAAAACATATTAAATATTACTGTTTTTACTGTATTCCTGCTTAAAAAAAGTGCAGTTTTTGGTAAGCATAAGAGACTTCTTTCAAAAACATAAAAAAAAGACCAGTAGTGTACAGTAACAGGAAATGCAAAGGAAGGCCAAACTTAAACCTGCATGACCCACATGAGAACCACAGCTCAATGAATCTGGAACATCTGCACTAACAGCTGCAGCACCATGGCTCTAACATTAAAAACTAATCTCACAAGCAGAAGGCTGTGATGGGACACTCTCTGGAGACAAAATATACAAATGCTGTTGTTAATCGTTGAGGCGTAGGCTTTTAAAACCTGTCAACTTTGTCAGCGAATTAACAAAAAACGAGGGGTATAGGAGTCGTGTTTCTGATGGCGGTATTGTCCCGAGGTACCAGGGCAGCTGGAATCGGTGCCTGGAGATCAGTAGGGTGGTGCTGAGCCGTCAAATGCAGGCTGCACCATCTCCCTGGTTTCCTGGAGCCGGACCTCTTCAGGGTCAACTTCTACAATGAGATCTGCCACATACAGACCCTCTGTCTGTGACTCCCTGTTCAGACCTCTGAGAGGATGGTCTTGATGATGGCTGCCAGCAGATATTTTTCTAAATGGAACCACAGTCGGGAATGTCAAATGCATATGCTTAAAAAAAAAAGGTTGCTGGATCTCTGAAGGGGCGAGGATTGCAGACTTTTGTAGCATTTTGGTTTTCTAGTTAAGGTTAGTACAACAAAAACTTGGCAATTTTCCATCCTCGATCTAATAGAGAGACAAAAGTCTTAAATTAATCAAACTTGGCGAGACAATGAAAAAAAAAAAAGGTTAGATGTGCTGCAATGGTCAACTGACATCAATCTGTTAAAAATATACAGTACTGTTCAAAGGTTTGGGGTTGGGTACAATTTATTTAATGTTTCTGAAAGAAATCTCTTTCGTTCAGTAACACTGTGAAATAATTATAATTTAAATGAATGGTTTTCTATTTTAATATATTTTAAAATGTAATTTATTTCTGTTATGGCAAAGCTGAATTTTTAGTAGTTATTACTTCAGTCTTCAGTGTCCTATGATCTTTCAGAAATCATTCTAATATACTGATTTCAATGTTATCATTAATGTTGAAATCAGTTGTGCTGCTTAATATTTTTGGAAACAATGATACATATTTTTAAGATTATTTCAAAAGTTCAAAAGAATAGCATTCACTTCAAATAAATATCATTTAACCTTATAAACCTTTATATAATCTTCATTGTCACTTTCAGTTAAATTAAGGCATCCTTGCTGAATAAAAGTATTAATTTCTTTCATAAAAAAAACTGACCCCAACATTAAACGATAGTGTATATAATCCAACAATTAAAATATTTGTGTAAAAGAAACATGAGCACTCAAAATAACCAAATTCACATTTCTTGTTAACTCTGACAATTTCTGTCATTATTGCTGGGAATATTGATATTTAAATTCTTATTTTCTTAGTGTGGCTGATAAATGGCCAATATTAAAATGTATAAAATTGTCTATTTAATAAAAAAAATGTTTTTGAATAAATGTAAGAATCACAATATTATAATGCACAGTACAAAAAAAAAACATTTGCAATTAAAAAATATCAGTGTTTTAAAGATTAATTTTGAGTGTTACATTAATCTAAATGTAAAATTAAAAAAAACTATTTAAATTTAAAAACTAATATCAACCAATAAAGACACAATATATCATGCATCTGTAGTTATTGCAGATAATTTCATTTTTTTCCCTGAATTTAATAGCTTCGCACTGTGAGTGTTGTTGTAGAGTATGTCTACATAGTACAACAAACTTTACATTTTAAAAGCACAAGGTAGCTCTTTTACACACACACAAAAAAAAATGATATATATATATATATATATATATATAATGTATATATATATATACATAACAAAAACAGAAGACCTGCACTAGAACGGTTCACAACCCCTCTGACAGGATGACCCAGCTTTTCTTGGACCAATTCGCGGTTATGGAGCTATAAATTCAAAATAAATATTTATAAACAAATGGCAATAACAGAAGGGAAGACATGCCACGTGGCTAATAAAAACAAGCGTTTTTTGGCCAGATCTGGAACAGAATTCTAAGCATTATTAAAATGTCAAGCACTCATTCTAGCACTAACAACTTTGTTCTTGCTCATAACAAAAGGTATGTGTAGCGCATGGTTATGTCAGCCCCGGTGTATTCTGGGGTGTGACGTAAATCAAATCACACCGCAGGGTTACTGTCCAATCTGTGACGTGCAATCCGAGCTGATGGATGGTCAGCAAACAGAAAGAGCACATAGCGCATGGCACAGACTGAACCCGTTTCCAGGTCAAGGCAGATTCTTTAGATAACACTCCCAGGAATGTAACAGACTGTGTAAGAATGTGCTCCTGGGAACAAGCTTTTTTGTAAACACAAGGCATTGATTAAACAAAAGAAAGGGAATGGATCAAATACGGTCTCTCTTTTATAAATACCTGTAAACCTGCCGAACCAGTACACCAGCATTCTGGAAGGTTAGACACGATGGGCTGCATCTGTTTCAGTGCGCCAAAGACGTGTGCTCAGAATACAGAGTGATCGTCTACACCCTCCCTATCCAACCCCTCAAGCCTTCCCCATCGGCCTACAGCAGATGACTACGAGCCTCACAAGACCTGTATATGCTGGCTAATTGGTCTCAGAGAACATTTAAAGAGGTAAAATGGACCACCGTAGAAAAATAAATGGAAGAAAATTGCATTGGTCAATATGGCAGAATATGACAATGGGTTCTGGACTTTTTGGTCTAGGACCACCTTAAAAGTGCTATTGTTAGCCTGTTTTAGGTCTCTATAATATACTACTGTTCAAAAGTTTGGGGTTAGAGTTTCATTTTTTTTTTTTTTTTAAGAAATCAACAGTATTATTGAGCATTACATTGACCAACAGTTAAGACATTCTAAAAAATACAGTGGGTACGGAAAGTATTCAGACCCCCTTAAATTTTTCACTCTTTGTTATATTGCAGCCATTTGCTAAAATCATTTAAGTTAATTTTTTTTCCTCATTAATGTACACACAGCACCCCATATTGACAGAAAAACACAGAATTGTTGACATTTTTGCAGATTTATTAAAAAAGAAAAACTGAAACATCACATGGTCCTAAGTATTCAGACACTTTGCTCTGTGTTTAGTAGAAGCCCCCTTTTGATCTAATACAGCCATGAGACTTTTTGGGAAAGATGCAACAAGTTTTTCACACCTGGATTTGGCGATCCTCTGCCATTCCTCCTTGCAGATCCTCTCCAGTTCTATCAGGTTGGATGGTAAACGTTGGTGGACAGCCAACCTGACAGAACTGGAGAGGATCTGCAAGGAGGAATGGCAGAGGATCCCCAAATCCAGGTGTGAAAAACTTGTTGCATCTTTCCCAAAAAGACTCATGGCTGTATTAGATCAAAAGGGTGCTTCTACTAAATACCGAGCAAAGGGTCTGAATACTTAGGACCATATGATATTTCAGTTTTTCTTTTTTAACAAATCTGCAAAAATGTCAACAATTCTGCGTTTTTCTGTCAATATGGGGTGCTGTGTGTACATTAAAGAGGAAAAAAAAATAACTTAAATGATTTTAGCAAATGGCTACAATATAACAAAGAGTGAAAAATTTAAGGGGGTCTGAATACTTTCCGTACCCACTGTATAAATAAATATATATATATTTTTTTTTTTTGCTGCATTGG